AGAGAGAGAGAGAGAGAGAGAGAGAGAGAGAGAGAGAGAGAGAGAGAGAGAGAGAGAGAGAGAGAGAGAGAGAGAAAGAGAGAGAGAGAGAGGAGAGGCAGTAACATAACAGCCTGAACTGTACTCCAGCAGATACCTCTTGTTCTTTGTCAGTATCATAGTGCCACGATGCTTAAACCACCAGCCTCTCTGAGCCCCTTTTTCCCAAACTGGATTTCCGCAGCACACCCAAGCAAGAACAAGCTGACGTGGGCGCAAAATATTTTGTCTTTGCCTGGCGCCACCAGCCTTTTCCTTCCTGGTAGGCTGAGCACCTGTTCACATGGGTTAACCACAGTGAAAAGGGACTACCGTCTTCACCCGAATATAACGCCCGGTCATTTTCACTGTATCTAGTCTGGAAGTTGCACCAGATACAGCTACAATGAGCGAGCGTTCTATTCGGGTAAAGACGGTAGTGGTTTGAGATAGACCGGTTCGAACGACAGCTGCCGAGTGGCGTCCTTGCTGCTTTACGCCAGTGCGCCCAACACCTTGATGCTCCCTGATTGGTATGTTGACGCAGAGCGGCACTGGATCCAGGCAGCCCGTGAGGACTACCAAAGTTACCTACCCAACAACCTAATAACCTCTTCTCCAACAGGACAGAAGGCAAGCGTTAATATATAATAATGGTCTAATTAATCACGAGCTCAACGGCCACTAATTAAGGGGCTCGCTGGCCATGGATGTGACCAACATACCCAGGCAAATGACAGGGTGGAGAAAGGTGAGGCGGTGTGGACGGTCGAGCACTTACAGATGCGTAAGCGCTGAAACGGCATTTGATGATTTAAAGGGTGCAGGTCTTCTTCCTTCATGCCACATTTGCCCAGGCAAAACAATGCATATAATAGACTTCGTAACGGATGAGACAAACCGGGAGGGCAACAGCATTCAGCACACCAATGCATGTGAGAAGAAGAGACCATCGAAGAAACAGTTGCTGGCATTGAGACAGCCATTTGAACGTTTAGTAAAAAAATCTCACAAGACCCTATTCCCCACGCAGCAACTAAGGGCATACTCACACTACTACGTTTTTGTGTATTTTTGGACGGAACCGTGGCCATATATTTCCAGGTATGGCGTGAATGCGGTCAGATACATTTGAGATACTGCTAGTGTGAGTACGCCCTAAGATTGCAAACTGCGTGTTAGTGCCTTCTTCTCTTGGATCCGTTGAAACCTTGGATACGAGTAGCGTTTACCGATGAATGACAGGACAAAGATCAAGAACTACGTGTTAATGCTTTCTTCTCTTGGATCCGATGAAACCTTGGATACGACGAGTAGCGTTTACCGATGAATGACAGGACAAAGATAGAAGGGACACAGGGCAGCGAGTGGCCGACAAGGAGGTAGCCATTTCTCATAAACCAACAGGTCGGGGAAAAGTGTTTGGCAACCGTTGGGTTAAGTGCAAAGACGAGGATGTCGTTGATATGGCGACAGTCAGTTTCAAAGACAGGATATACTTAGCAGATGGTGGCTGATGACACAAACTGCAGCGTATCCTCCTCGTGTTTCCACATGTCAAGGCAGCAGGCGAGGAGAGCAGGGGATAGGAGGATGTCAGCCGACCCGACCGTCTGGCACTCGAAGTCAGCAAGCTCACGACTTCACGACATGTGGAAACGCGAGGAGAGTTCTGTCCAGCCAGTCCAGTGGAAGGCCCAAGCACTCCGCTGTGACTCTCCATAACCTTTCCATGGCTTCCAGGTTCCTTGCCTGCCTTGCAACTGATGCCGGTCGGCAATCGGGGGCATAGAGGGGACCATCCAATGACCCGGAAACGCGTATGGTTTGAGCAAACAGTTGTACAGATGGGTGAGAGGCACAGTGAAGGGATGCCCTTGCGCCCTCAGCTGTGGAGAGCTGCATGCATCGCACCACGTATCGATAACCCCAACGCATAATTGTCGTTCCATAGCGGACAACGTCCGTATACACCATTCCTGGGTCCACTGCCACTACATCGACACGAAGATCGTTTGGCAGACGTCTCTGTAGCACATTCACAAACATGACTTGGGCCAGCTTGCTCTGAGCGTAAGCTGCAAAGTGCCCATATGACTGCCCTGTGTGGCCACTGAGATTCAGGTCATCGAAGTTCAACCACCCACATTCGTGCAACTTGGAGTTCACGAACACCACGCGCGATGGTGCGCTCTGAATGAGTGACGGCAGCAGCAGCGCTGTCAGTAGCACTGGTGCAAGGAAGTTAACTTCCAAGTGCTGTTCAAACCCATCACCGGTCACTTTGCGAGGACCGGACATGAGAAAAACTCCGGCATTGTGTATGAGACAGTGGAGTTCGAATCCCTTTGCATTCCATCGCTGAGCGAAACTGTGAACACTCTCGATCGACGATAGGTCAAGCTCCATGACTTCTGCTCTCGTTCCGCGCATGCCCTCCTCTTGCTGCCACTTGTCAATCAGTCTCTGCCCTGCCGAAGTGTTACGGCATGCAAGCACAACGTGCGCGCCTGCCTTGTACAAACACCTCGCTGTCTCAAGGCCGATCCCACTGGTGGGGCCAGTCACAATACAAGTTCTGCCAGCGATTGCACCGTGGCAGTACATGCTGGCATCTGATGACATGTGACGGTACCACCATCGCTGGAACAGAGTATGTGATCCAGCACGTCCTAACGCCCGCAAGTACTCCCTCCGTGAAAGCCTCTCCATCCCCTCTTCCTCCTCCCTTCTTCCCTCCCTCCCTCCCTCCCTACCTGTTAATTAAAGTCAACGAGGACTGAGCAGTGGACTTTCTGAACGGCTGTGTTCTGTACTTAGCTTCCCTGGATAAATAAATAAATACGCCAAACAGACCATCCGACCAAGGATGATTCAGGCAAAAACAACCGATCCGGTGAAGATGTGTGTTGCTAGGTGCAGCAGCAGCATATGCAAAAGAATGTGTCTCTTGGCAAAGCAAGTTTAGAGGACAGG